GCAGGTAAAGGCAGCTTCAGGAAAAAAAAGACACAAAACAAACACTGTGGAGACAGGAGTCGAGGTATTGAATGAGTTTAGTTTCTGCTCCTCATGAGAGGTTTCAAAAGTGAAAATTCATTTATATAATATTCACTTTCTTTGACACACACACACAGTCTGTATTTATTGTATCTAATCTCTTTACACATCAGAATTATAACTGAAGCGATGAAACCAAAACAGTACCACCTATCATCTCATTTAAAGTGTGCACATGTAATAAAAGGCAATTGGATTTTTGGCCATTTCAAAATCAAGATGCATGATGTGAAATTAACACTTATCTTACATTTTTCATCAAAAGATTTCTTGATTAAAATATCACATATTCATTTCATTTCTAATAAGCAGGAAAATCATAATGATGTAGAGTAAAATATGGACATCAGCTTGTTATTACATAACATATAATATGTTGATGTAAAAAGTACAGAGTGAAAAGTGAAAGGCCACTGTGGTCAATAGTGTATCTTGCAGTAATCTACTTTTCACTAGCAACAAAAGTATAAGACATCCTGCAAACTTGTACATTGTAAGAAAAAGTTACTTCATGTTTATTGCTAAACCTTTCAAAAAAGAAAATTACATGCTCTCAAATATCATGATATGCCATATTCCAAACCCTTCCAGCTGCACATACATTGTGTGATACATAATATCCAGGCCATCAAGTCAGGAAAACAACAGTAATGCTAAAATATATGGATAAATATTCAGAAAACCTAATATCATAGGAGGAAAACCTGTGTAAAAATATCTGTATTGGTGATGCAAAATGTTTATTGTCAGTTAATAGTGCTTACCCTGATTTAAAAGGTCCAGTGTGTATCATGTAGGAGGATCTATTGTGAGAATATTAAATTCATATGTTTTCATTAGTGTATAATCACCTGGAAATAAATAAAATTGTGCAGCCACCGTAGTTTCTCCTTTATGCCTGTAATCTACAACTACACTGCTAGACACTACTAAATCCTACACACTGGACCTTTAAATAACATCAAACCATGTGATCCGTCAGAGAATGGGCTCTGTGTCATTCCAATTGACAAATGCATCTTTCCACCTTAAAAAAAAAGGAAAAAACACAGGCATTTACAGCTGATCCAGGTACATACTACATGATCTTGTACAACAAATAGCTGTCTTTAAAGCAGGCATCTCAACATGGTGCCCGAGGGCACCTGGCAGCCCGCGAGTAGCCTGTGAGGTACCCACAGAGCTTGTTCTGTAATCAAAGGGGTTTCATCCAGTGCCCAGGTTCAGCTCATCCAAAGTCCCCTCCTCATCACATCCAAACCTCCAGGATTCTCTTCATCCCTTTCATCACCACCACCAGTTTCTTGACTCCATCTGGGGGGATTTCCTTTACTAATTATGGCTTCATCTACCCCTTCAAATACAATGATGTCACAATGGGGTCTAATTTTCACATTTCTCATCTTTATTGTGCACATCAATTAAATATATTCATTAAAGATAAAGTCTTTCCTGATTTAAATGTTTTTAGTAATTTAAAAAAGTATATTGAGATTAGCCTTTATTACATGTTGAAACCACGCTTCCCTGTTCTGCCTTTCTGCATTTGGTGTGTCTAAAATGGTGGCCTAAGCCCTTGCCGACTTTCTTGGAGTTGCACTTTTAGATTTTTATGATCTATCAAATAACTGGTTTACCGTGATAAAGCGAGCTGAGTAAACTCTCTCAGTTCATAACAGTAGCTTTCTCATAGGATGCTTCAGTATTTATACAACCAGAGAAAAAAAATTACTTCACACCCGCAATTCTATATCCAAATCAAATTAGTTCAACCGTGTATATGAAAGGTGAAAATACACAGCATTTTCACATGGATGTTCCCCAAGTATTTTTCTCCTTTTAGGTAGCCCTCACTCTCAAAAGGGAGACACCTGCTTTAGAGTATGCATGGAATTTGAAGACTCTTTGATCAAAGGCAATAAACATCAAAACATTTTATGGTTGTTTATAGGATCTCCAGACATTACTGCGCATGTGGGCCTGTCAGTTTGAAACGGCAAATATCCTTACCTCGTTCGGATACAGTGCTCCAGTGGAGGAATGAGATCCGCGTCGTCATCCTGACAGGCCGGGGCTGATTTGCCGACAGCTAAAAATACAAACGCTTAATGAACATTTTCAGTTTAGGCATATTTACAATTAGTGCAACAGCAAAATAACTAACACTACTGAAAACAAGATCACATCATAATCACAGAAATGATACCCTAATGTACATCTCTGAGCAGCCATTTACTAGAGAGAAGGGTTTATAAGAGACATAATAATTGTGATGTATGAATTGAATGTAGGACGTGACGCTACATACAGACAGTGAGGCGGATCTCCTCCTGTTGATTGGCCAGTCCGTCATAATAGTAGAGGTCAAACTCCAGACCTTTGTCCTGATTGGTCAACAGCTCCCTCTGCAGGCCAAACAGCACACTGAAGTGGCTTTCACTGCACACCACCCAGATGGGGTAACGGGGAGTCTTCAGGTAAGCTCCTACCTTAGATAGAAGAAAGAAAAACACAACAGAGCAAAGTAATTGATCAAATGCCAGGACCCTGAAACTGAAGCAGCTAAATGGAATTAGGCCATCATCAATTGTATTATTCTGAACAAGTTAAAAAGTGCACACAATCTTGAGCAGTGTCTAACTTCAGTAGAGTAAAATCAAAACTCTGCCATTGTATTTGTAATTCATGCCTCTTGAATGTTTAGAAGTAGACAAACAGTTTTCCTGGGTGTAAAAGTAACATTTTGATTGGAATAACACATTTTGTACATATAGTGCTATGTACTTTCTATGTTAATGCTGTGCAGAAAACTAGAAAATGTTAAAGATATTTTGTATTTATTAAGTTATTTGCTGGAAAGAGTACTATAAAAATGGAGGACATACTACAGTCTATTCCCACACTCATCACCCTGTTCACAGCAGGTTCTGGGAGACGCCACTAAGTACAAGGTTTCTCTGAGTTGCACAACTTTTATTGTAGTTTTTAAGTGAACCATGGACCTTTTATTCAATTGCGACTGAATAGAACCTTGAAGACGCAATAATTAGAAATGTCAGGACAAAATCTGCTACTAATCACTGTATCCTTGTACGAAGAGTCTTATTTCAACTTCAACACAACATCAAAACATCCACATGTCCATGATGTGATTATTGACCAACTAGTTACATTTAACTTCACCTTCACCTTCAATTTAATTTGTTACTATGCTACTGCTTGAAATAACCAGAAAGCATTTGACTTCACATTTACTTCAGTTATGCTTTTATCATGCATTTGAACTACTTAAGAGTAACCATTTTCAGGCAGTGTTTATGTTAACCATCATGTAAATCCCATAATAGTCTTAGGAACATTCTTTGCTGTGATTATGGGCAGATCTGTGCTGCTGGTGGTACAGATGTGCCCATAATTACAACAAAGAATGCCGCCTGAGGTCTTGTGTTTCCACTTGAATCTGACTAGTATCTGTTCTGTGAGTGGCCGGGTGACCAGAGAGCCAGCACTCACCTTACAGATGTTATAATGTTCGAACAGGGACAGCAGGCCAACATCACAGTCGCCTTTGATTCCCTTGAGTAGAGTCATGTTGCCATTGCCTGAGTCCAACTCCATGTCATTGTCAAAGACATTAGAAACTGATCTTCCACAGAGCAACAGGTTGACCAGCTCCTGGTGCACACAAATATAAAGAAGCAATCTCAGTAACCAGAATATATTTTATGTATACAGCAGTAACAGTAAGTAGTGATGCTGTATTGAGCTGAGATGGCTTTGAGGCAGCATTTGCATACTAGCCTAATGGCAGAATGAGTAGGATTTCTCTTAAAAACAAGGTATAAACTCATACAAAAATGATCTCTCAGTCATTACTTATAACCCACTGGAAGTGTATGGCGGTATCTGTATCTGCAAAGACCCCTCCCTCTGCTTGTTTTTTATTATTTTGCTGTGTTCAGGACGTTTCCGGGCATAAACCTTTGGCTGGTGGGTGTGTAGCCCCCGTCTATTAACAGCTGGCACACCCAGATCACCAGACTGTAAGCACCTAGAAGTAGTTATGGCGTGTGCTTCTGGTGTCGTCTGAATGTTGTGTTTAAAAACTGAAACTGACAAACCCTACTCATTCTGCCTTTAAACATTAATTTTGAGAGCAGAGAGAAAAACTTATGTCTCTTAACCAGTGTCATTGGGATCAATCCCTGTACCTTAATTATTCATTAAAATGTGTTATTCTGAAACACAAACAAACACAATACCCAGTACTCTCAACCGATTTAGAAGTTTCTAGTTTTATGTCAAACCTGAGTGCAGTAGCCATGGGCTCCAATGAGCGTGGCGGTGGGCACGTCCATATCCTCTCTTACTCTAAGGGAAGAACAAAAAGAAATCTGTCAGATAAGAGTGATTTTATACAGCGCACATCTTGTTCAGTCAGCTAGAAAAGGCAAAACATACTTTTCAATGGTTCGAGAGAGAACTGCAGATATGGTCAACAGGATGCATCCTAACATCCCAGTCTCAAACTGTGGGGGGAAAAAATACAGATTTGAGCACAAAGTTTGGCAACCTTTTGTACATTTTACAGGCGTTTGACGTTTGCTTAATCTGAATCTCTGACCTGCTCGATATGCTGCTCAAGAAACGACTGCAGGTCCTTCATGTTATCCATAGTGAAACACGTTATCTAAAAAAAAGAAGGTGGTTATAAAAGTCCCACTGCAGTGCCAATCATAGCCCTTTTTTAAATTACACAACAGTACACATGGCTGGTACATTTACCGTTTACAGTAAAAAGGTCATTTTGTAAATTATTATAAAACATTGACAAAGCTACACTTTGTTGTTTTCATTCGGGATCAATTGAATAATAGTGTAATAAACGAAGATGTACAAATGTGTTTTTCCAAATCCTAATATGGCATGAATGTCCTGCAATAACATTTTACACATACCGGTAGTATATATTCTACAAATTGAACCCAATAAAATGGCTCATGAAACTACTGTTGAGGAATGTTTGTCTGATGTAGTTAGAAAACACTGAAGAGGATTTTAATACGAAACTCTATCTGCTGCTAAATCCAACTGAATTCTATTTGGTAAACTTGAGTGTAACTTTACTACCCAAGTTTCAGCAGGTGTGTATGCAGTGGTATCTCTATACCTTTTCCAGCACTCCTTCACATTTGTAGTGTCCACTTGGGGTGAAATGATTTCTCCCTGAATTTCTGTTTTTAAAAAATAAAGGTAAAACAAAGCACAGAAACTGTTTAAAGCATCAGTGGTGTATGTTGCTTATTTGTCACTGACATACAGAACCACCCCAACCCTCAGCCTCTAAGCCAGGTACTCACATGCATTTGACTTAGTTAAACACTGGTAGTGTGGTTCTGTGTATTAGTGTAGGTCTGGATAAAGAGGATTAAGTGGATGAAAGTGTGATCTTACATTGCCACTGTGGCTTGTTTTTCTTCGCCTGCCCTCCACAGAATTTCAGCCGCAGCTAAAACAAGACACTTTCTTCTGGTAGCATTGGAAGGTCTTAACCTCCTGAGAACAAGGTGGCGTTTGAGTGAAAAGCAGGTCGTTTCTGGTAATAATACAGTTAATACCACAATGCAGAGGTCAAAACTCAACAGTGGCTACAAAGCATGCCTTGATGTGAATTAATGGCTGTAAAATCCAAGTGATTAGAATAGGGCACACAGAGGTTAATAATATGAGCCAAAGCTCTGAATTGAAGGCTAACTTACTGAAGGCCTGTATCACTGCTTTTGATGTTTTCAAACAGTAGTTTCTTTAGAACAAAGGCTTGGATGGATGCCAGAACCCCACATGGACCACCCTAGAAAATAAATGAATACCACAAATTAATAAATTATATTAAAATCACTTAATTGGGTTAATGACTTTTAGTAGAATGGAACTGTTACCACAACCTTTTTCTGCACAATTCCGTAACCCAGGTCATGCATTTCTGAGAATGTGAAACCCTGATTCCTCCACTCAACACTGAAACAATTTAGGCTGGATCCAAGAAGAACCGCTTTCAATTCCTGGAGGAAAAACGAAAACAGAAAACAAACAGAAAATCAAAGGCACCCGCAGAAACTGTCCCCAGCATTTTCAAAGAAACACTGGCATAAATCACCAACCGTGGCAGTGTGCTGGTCCATTGGGCGGCCGGCATAGCTGTGCTCTGTGATCGTTCTCTGAAAGGACACTTTGGAGAGTTCTCGCAGCTCATCGTCATCATCAATGTCATCTGGCAATTGATTACCACAGCATCAGCTTTGGCAGATACATGACAACAAATCAAAAAAGGCAAAGACAATGGATGCTGCTTCTTTTTCTTCACACACTGTACTTACCTAAAACCATCTCAGACACATCCAAATCAGCCACATTTGGCCTGGCAAAAGACTTTATTCTAAGAAACAGACACAATGTACATTTTTGAACAAAACTCAGTGGGAAAGTAATTCAAACTGTATAAAACTGAAGTTGCCACTGACATTTTTCAGCCGCTTATAGATATTTACTTTTTAGTCTTCAGTATGTCTTGTTCTATTTTTTTAAAGCCACTTTCCCTCTGCACTCTCTGTGGTGCACTCCGCACCTCCCGTCGCCCTCCAACGCAGTCCGCTGACTTGATTTCAGTTAGGCCGCTTTCTGAGCTTTTCAGATGTAAGCCTGTCACTGAAAGTCCATCCTTAGACTGCCTGTTTTCTTCTTTTCTGAGCAGCGGCTGGGACACATCTAGCCTTCGATTCTGTCTCTTTTTGGTTGATTCCTAAAAGATAAAACATCAGCGATGGAACAGAGTGTAATGAATGTGAGTAATATGATAAATACGGGATCAGTATGTTTTTCAGAAGTGCATCAGAAGTTCAGTACCTGACGTGAGCTAGCTATTGGTCCTGCCATCATGCCACGTCTAATTCGGTTAGTTCTGCTCCTTTGGGTGCTCTCAGTGATGCAAGTCTTTTTTTCTGGTTCTCTTTTGATGAAGCTCTCATTGTCCTGGAGGGAAGCCACCAGTGACTGGCCTTTTTGGTCCTCTGAGTCATAAGCCCAGAGACCTGTTCGCTCATGACTGGATAGTCTATCTGAATTAGGCAACAATGTTGTGTATACAGGCTGAGATGGGCAGATTTCTTCAATATCAGACCTGGGAGAGAGAGAGAGAGAGAGAAGAAACAATTTTCTAGTCTAGTTTTCAAAACTGCACAAAATAATGATTTTAAAATGTCACTTGTGAAATACCTTAATCTGACGTGTTTGCTTATAACAAAAGCTGCTGTGCCATCCTCTGTTATTGTGTTATTCATCACTGATGGTGTTGCAGCAGGGGAATTAGCAATCGAGCTGATATCTCCAGCAGACTGCAGGGGATCACTTTCATCGTTGGTCATCTTGTCATCCTGAAGGCCACTGATGTGATGCTTCACAATAATCTCCAGTAATGTTTTCAGAGGGGACGACTGAACCTGCAATGACGGCAAAGTCAGCTACAGACCTTTCCCGTTGTTGTTATCCACTTGTACAGCAGCCAGCCTCCAGGTTACAGGACTTACCTTGTTCTTTTTATAGAGACCCTCTATGTTGAGGATCTGCCTCAAGTGTGATCTGTTGTTGATACTGGCCTCTGTGCGCGGATGCTCCTCATCCATACAGGCGATCGTCCTCTTGAGTCCCTGCGCATCAACACAGTGTCTTGTAACGAAAACATACTCTGTAACTTTTGTATTGGCACTGCAAACATGGTCACGTTTTTAGGTGCTCTGGGGATGCTAGCAGCTGTGATCATGACCATCATCCTACTTAAATACTGACGTTAAACACTCAGAAGTGTGCTCGGTTGAGACAGCAGGAACTGGTCTCAGAGTTGAGTCTCTAATGTTGGTCGCACAACATTAAACCAATCAGTTTTTCCGTGCAATGCCTGCAACTCGTTTCCACTGGAGGACCGGTGGCTAACGCCAGCTAGCTACCTAGCTCTGTTAAAACATTACATACAGAAACACTGAGCGAACTTACCTTTCGACTCAGATATTCCCGTACAAGCGACGAAGAAACCTCCTCTACCGACACGGCCATGGTGATGGGACCGTATTAACGTAACATAGATTATGAAGAAGAGGTTGTTCTGACGATAGCCTTCAGCGAACCGTCCAGCGAACCGCCGACGGGCCGGTGAGTCTTCAGAGACCGTCGTGAGTCTTCAGAGACCGTCGTGAGTCTTCAGAGACCGTCCGTATGCGCTGCAGGTCGGTCAGACTGAGCGGCGTTGTTGTTCGGCAGTGTTCGTTTCCATGGAGATGCTAGTCGTTCCGCACCCACACTATATAGTAAGTGAATGGGGTATACCAATATGGCGGCTTATTCTTTTTAATGAAAACGGTCACCCGGCGCAGGTTTGTCACAGTGGTTCACAATGAAGGGGCAGAATGTGGGTCACAAAATAATAAAGTGGGTGTGGCAATTCTGTCTTCCTTTGAAGGCTTTTCGAGGCAAATATTAGTATATGTGATTGTTTGCAATACAATTTGAATTTCTGCCACCCCCACTTGGCACTCCATCATTATTTTTCTAGATCTGCCCTTGCAGACCTAAAATGTAATGCCATCTTTATCAGGAAAATGAGTCATATAAGCCCAATAATACCTAAAATAAAGCTCTAATAACACAATATTATGACACATCATCCGTATGCAAGACACAGCCAGTAAATCTGCTAAAATGCACCAACCACCTGTGTTGATATTGTACTTTAGATGTGCAAATTCCCCAACACATTTGAAATGATTAAAATGATCAAAACCAGTTGACATGCAGTGAACCTGGGGCTGTGGGGTCCCCTCAGGGTCTGGGTCTCTGGGGCAGTTAGTTGCCTGCTATTTCCAGTTGGCAGTCCAGTCTTAGTGAGGAGAGATTGCAAGTAAACATCACTTTGTTAATTCAAGTGGTCTCCAGTCAAAAAGGTTGGCAACCACTTTGTATCGCTGTCACATGGGAGTGAAACACAATTTTATCTTGATTGGCCGTTTAAATGTAATAGATTTTCATTATTATTTCACAGAAGTTTTGTATTTTTTCCAGTGCATCATGTGACATGCAGTTCCAACTTTGTCCACTATGATAAAATCTCCTTATACCTGCTGTCCCTGGTGCTTGTCTTCCACAGCCAGTCACTGGTTTAATAACATTCAGGTTTGTGGGAATACAATGATGATGGATCCATGGGTTATACTTACTTCAAACCATTAAAGCACAGTTCACCCAAAGTCTTTCCCATGCAACAATAAAGACACCACAAAACACTTTTTTTATTTTATTTTTGTTCATTTTTATTAAAACATTTTCATTTATAATATATGACAAATACTCAGGCTAACCTATGTTTTCTTCATTTTCAAACAATAAAACGGTTACCTACTGTCCAGCACAACTGAATTATGACAATTGTATCAAGAGTATTACATTTAACTCAAAAAGAAAAAGGGGGGTTGGTACATGAAAAATCTACATATTATTGGTTTTTAGATGCTGCAGTTTAAAAACACTTAATCTAAAGAGTTTAACTGAAAATCCTTGATTTCAAATTGCTTTGTTCCTGCAAAATGCAACTGCCATTATAATGGCATATCACTGTCAACGGACACCTTACTGTGGATTACCAATTAAGTGATGACTAGCATGTTACCCCTCGATAGACAGCAATACCAGCCAAGTATCACAATACCATTTAGTAATATGGCAAAGAGTACAGAAATCAACATGCTTATTTATATTTGTTGAGCAGTAGTAGAATACCCAAGCAAACATGTAATATGTTTTACTGATTTTCCTGTATCTTGTTCTTTAAAATTAGTATATGAGGACATCTTATTTTTTACATTTAAATGCATTAAGCATAATGTTTGCCAAGTATGGACCATAAAGTGTGATATTTACAACACAGTAATATTATATTTAAAAATTGCTGGTATCACAAATATTGTAAGGGCCTGGCATCGAAGTTGGTTTTGAGCAAGAACAAACAAGAATCTGTTTTTGGCACAGGTATCATGCTACTCTAAGTGCAGCTTTACATTTGAGCAATACGTAAACAACATCTTGAATAATTTTTTTTGTGTTGTGTATCCCTCCCTTAGGAATGCCAAGCATACTGCTATGTTCTTCCCTCTGCTGTGTCATACCATGAGGAACGAGGTTTTTATAAAAGGAGTGAGAGACAACAGGGAAAGTTTCCAGAACATGGAAGGGCATCAGTAGTCATAAGCTGCAAGAAAGAAAACAGAAGAGCAGTTATCCACATCAGCCACTCAGCTTGAGTTCACGAGGAAGAGGAGCATGCTATCCACTTTGTAGAGATGAGGTATCATGCAGGCATGCAGTCACACCAAGGTGGTCTTACTTTCTATTGTGAGGATGCAGGTACTTGCGGCTGTGCCTCTGCTGTTCACAGCCTTGCACATGTACTCTCCTTCGTCCTCTGGGAAGGTCTCTGGCAGGTAGAGGCAGTACGTCTCTCCTCTCTCTATATACTGATAGTCCTCACAGTCCTGGAGCATCTCTCCCTCGAACCACCAGGTCACTTCAGGCTTTGGCTCCCCTGTGATCTTAACGGTGAACCGCACTGGCTCCGAGTCCACCACCGATTGATTTTTAAGGGGCTTTTTAAACCACGGAGCCCCCGACCTGGCATGATCTTCCTCATCTTCATAGGCTGCAGAGCCGTTGATGATGCTACCTTCATCCTCCACATCATCCTCCTTCTTCTGTAAACAGAGGGGGAAAAATGAATTGTTGCCAGGGTCAAAGCAACCTTAAACGGAACTCTTGCTATGCTGTCATGCTTAAGTAAAGATCATATATGGTCATGAACATGGGAGATTTACTTTTTGGAGGGCAGCATCAATCTCTTGCTGCTCAAACTGCATTCTCTGCAGCTTCTGCTCCTCTATTCTCCTCCTCTCCTCATCTTCTCTGGCTTTGGCCATTTGTTCAAATCGGGCTCGCATATCCACCTTCTGTTTGAATGGCGACTCGTCGGCTCTCGCTGGAGTTGTTTCTCCTTCGTCATCCTCCTGGAAAACGCAGCAATTTTTATATGTAAAGAAAAAAAGAACAAGGGACAACATTGTTTGGGTAATTTCAACAAATGGAATAAAAAAAATGTTTTGTGACATCCTGTGTACCATGTGTTTACTCTTACCTCCTGGAACCTCTCAGCTTCTCTCTCTTTAATTTCATCATCAACGGCCTTCCTGCGTGCTCTCTCCATTTCAATCTTTTTCTGAATATCCTCTTCAGTCAGTTGCTTGATCTTCTCAAATTTGGACTTGAGGTTCTTGGCCTGGATGGAGCCAGTCCTCTTGAGCTTGGTCAATTCTTCATACTCTTTGCTGACAACATCCGAGCTTTCATTCACTTCGTCCTGTGTGAGGATAGAAGCCAGTTTATTTAGTGTAGCTGTGAGAACTCTAACACTAAATGATAGAAAGAGTAATCCTAATGTGGAATGAAAAAAAATCACAATGAGATATGTCATGTATGAGTTTACAGGAATTCCAAATATATATTTGGAAAAAAGGACTGGATTCTCAGGCGTAGTTGGCTGAGAAAGTTATACAGTATGTGATGGACATGGTCCACATAAATGTTCATCTGTTCCAGACTGACCTCGCCCATCTCTTGTCTGAGTTGTTCAAATTCCTGCTTCTCCTGCTCCATTTTCTTTTTGCGTTCCTCTGCCTTGCGTCTTCTCTCAGCCTCCTCCTTCTCTTTCAGTAGCTCTTCAAAGTTGATTTCCAGTTTTCTAGGGTGCAGTGCTTCCTGAGATTCACTCTTCACCATCCCTTCTTCCTCATCTAGTGCCTACACACACAAGTACACACAAAGGCAGAGATTTATATTTGGGCGTGAACTGACCGAAGGCGTCAAGTACTGTGCCCACGTCGTATTACAGTGACAGCTTTGGTTTCTAATAGAGCAAATCACTTGTCGAACTACTTACCTGACATTGAATAGTGTCATAAAACCAGCAAAAATAAGCAGGTGCCATTCTATTGTTACACATAGCATTTAAAGACATGCATAAAAAAACACATACAATCATCTGTAGACCTCTGTGCCCTTGTACTTCCAATGAATAAATTCATTATAGCATACTGTATGAACAACTGAATTAATTGAAATTAAAAATATCTTACTGTTTCATGTCCATATGCAGACTTTTTCTGATCCACGCCAGGGCTCTTAAAGGGAACAGCAATGCAGGTGTACCATTTGAGCCCATCACAATGATATTCAATACATGAACAAAAATGATTAATCTTCATCCAATTAGAATCAAATTATACGTAACATTTAGACAGAGTCAGTGTTGTTGTTGGTTTGATGCAGACCATAATTTCTTTGGTCATAACTGATATTTATTTGTAATGCTGTAATGAGTATTATAAAATATAAATAAAGTGTATGAATGGGCTGTTTGTATGTGTGTTTTGGCCATTTAACATTTTGTTATAACGCAGGTTTCCCAGTTATTTTAGAAGGGAAAGCGGAGCAGCTCAGCAGCAGCAAATTAAGTCAAAGCCTGAGTAACAAAAGCTACCATTTTCTAACACGTTAATGATCAGCAAAGTGCATGCAGAGTATTATTTTTGAGTCAAGTAGACTAACCATGCTCTTGCGGGCCTCAGCAAAGAGCCTCTTCTCCTCTTCCAGTCTCCTCTTGGCCTCCTCCTCTGCCTTCTTCTGTTCCTCTTCTCTTCTCTGGCGTTCCAGATCCTCAAAACTAGCGCATATCTTCCCAGGCTTACTGCCCTCCAGGTTCAGTAGAGCCATCAGCACCTCATCATCCTCATCTACAAGCTGAGCAAGAACACAGCAAGGTGAGCCTTGATCATCTTTTCAAGCTGACTAATTAACACAATATTTCTTCTATCTTCTATCTGTATCAGTCGTCTCACCACCAGAAAACAAGTGTATTTCCGTAAAAGTCTAACTGTTCCTTTAAGGATATCAGAAGATATATTATAATGACATTATCACTATATATGTTTGTTTAATTTGATTTTTCATACTGAATTTTGTATTCATTTATGGGAAGCATATTGACCATGCTCTTCCTGGCTTCAGCAAAAGCTCTTCTCTCCTCCTCCATTCGTCTCTTGGCCTCATCCTCTGCTTTCTTGCGCTCTTCTTCAACCCTTTGCCTTTCCAGCTCTTCAAAGCTCAACCTCAGTTTTCCAGGTCGGAACTCCTCCTTGTCTTCCTGACCTGGCTGAGCGCCCTCCTCATCTTCTCCCTGATAACACACAAGTGAAAAGTTATATTGAAATATCTTACATGTAGGTTGTGCAGATACAATTTTTTTTAGTTTGTTGATGTTTTGTTTACCATTCCCAGCCTGGCCTCCTCAAAAGCTTTCTTCTCTTCTAGCAGGCGGCGTTTGGCTTCCTCCTCAGCCTGCTTCTTTCTCTGTTCCTGTCTGTCCTTCTCCAGCTCCTCAAATGTCATCTTCAGCTTCCCAGGAGTCACCGATGCCTTCTCTGAAGGCTTCTCTTCTTCGTCCTGAATCCAAATCAGTGTGAGAAGGCAGAAGACTTTGTTTAACTGTGGTGCACAGTCATTAAGTTGGTTGCAAAAAGCCCCAAACAAGATTTTATTTATGCTGAATGTTCACAAAAATGTTTATTTCCTCATATTCCTACCTCTTGAACAACCGAGCGTCGCTTGGCATCCCTGAAGGAGCGTCTGTTTTCATCGTATCGTCTCTTCTTCTCTTCTTCTGCCTTCTTCTGCAGTTCCTCCTCTCGATTCTTCTCCATGTCTTCGAAGTTCAACTTGATTCTACCTGGAGGTCGTGATGACTTCGCTGGAACCACCCGCACAAGGATTGTGTCATCTCCTTCCTATAAAGGTGTTTGATAATGTAAGATTATCTAAGGTATTACCAAGGCACACAGTAAAGATTCATTAAATTAAATGTATGATGAAAAATAGACCATATTGGTAAGTCATGTGCAAGAAGTTTACTAAGATGTATCGTCCTTAAGTCCAATTTTGAGGTTCTTGCACTTAACTCGAGTGTGTCCATTTTACTGTACGCTACATTGTACTTCTAATCAACTTCATTTCACAGGGAAATATTGTACTTTATGCTACACTACATTTATCTGACAGCTATAGTTGATAATTGCTTTACAGATTAAGATTGGACGTAATAAGCATATTATAAGCTTGTAAAATACAAGTTGCAAAGTGCTTTCCAATCTTTTCAGGCTATTGAGTCTGCAAAAAAGCAGTGTCTGGAGATCCATGTCACATTTTAGAGCTGTTAACTGTTCCATCAAAGAAACATTTCCCCTCTAAACTTCTCAGGTAGTTTTCTTTAGAAGTGTTCACAGTAAAAGTATCTAGTATTTCACAAAAAAGCAAAGTTTACAATAAGGTCAGAAAGCATAATCTGCATGATAAGTACTTTTTCTTTTGGTACATTAAGCTGGTAATACTTCTGTATGTCTGCTTAAGTAGGATTTTGAATGTGTGACTTACTGTATTGATACTTTTACTTAAGTAATGTATCTGAAAACTTTATCAACCACTTAGGTTTGAGCTCTTGTAGATGGCCTGACACACTAACCATTCAGTGGTAGAGGGGAAAACAAATTCAGCTCAATCCTAGTGCATACCCCTGCACACACAGACTGGGAATAAGAGCATGTGGGTGAGTAGGGGGCAACTCAATTGGCCTAATGTCACCATTTGCAGTAGGTCAGAGTATGGGTGTCAGTCTAAGATAGCAGAGTCTAATTCAGTCACAGTAAGGAGGTCTAGAGCTAATATAGCTGCTTGGAGGTGTGGGAAACAGTTGCCAGTCATATGCTGTCTACACCTGGCAGCGCTGTGTGCTGTTCCAGTTGTTTCTAGATCATCAAGTCTGTGCTTCCTTAAATTTAAACAGGATCATTTTAATAGTGAGTAGTAAAGATCTAACAGATAATCCTGTTTTTTCATAAATGGCCAACAAAGAAAACAGTAATAGGGAGTTAAACATATGGGTGTGACCTGCCATACATAACAGGTATAAATTAAATACACACAAAGGCACTCTACTTAATGTAACTGTAGACATTTGCCATTAACAAGTCACCCTGTAGAAGAAGTTTGTAAGGATCTCTGTTGCAATCAGTGTTCACCTTACAGTTATGGTTTTGTGTTTTGTCTGCCCCATTACCAGGGCCGTAACCAGGATTTTAGATATACTGAGGTGATGAGTGAACGGCCCCAACCACCTCCCACACAACCCCAAAAAGAAAGTCTCTAATTTTGTTATTCTCTGTATGTTTTATTGAAATGGAGCAGTTCTTTTAAAGAGAATCCTCCAATTCCAAGAGAACCGACTGAAATACCATCCCACAACTTTGTCACCATTCTCCCTATAATCATAATAGTTCTTTACAGGAAATGTTAAAGGAAATTATTAAAAAAGAGGCCTAAATAAAGCGTTACTCTTTCATTTCCCAACATGAGGATCTAAGTGATGTTTCAAAACCCTATCCAACCTGCCAGGAATACAATTCTACTTTGTAGAATATATTTCATATATATATTTCCTGCAAAGTTGCTAAACAATGACCTGACCTCAGTGTCCACAGTGGCAGTTTCAACCCTGATCATTGCTGAAGATGATAAGGGCAGTGTTGTAAAGACAAATAAAAATAAAAAACCTGAATAAAATCACTACATTACAACCGTGTCCTGTTAAAGATGTTTGTAAATCTGTTGAACATATACAGCATTGTTAACGACATTATACTGTTGACTGCTCTCACTGTACTAGAGCAGAATTAGGGCAAAGAAGTAGCAGGTAATTGCCTGTAATTGTCTATCTGGCACAAGAATACTTACGTAACCATTCCCAGGCACTACACTACCTGAGGGTATAATAGACTCAAAACTCCATTCAAGTTATTACATCATTTTCCAAACTGTCCCAAGTCGTACACAGTAAGATTAAATGAAGGTGACCCATTTACCATGAGTTGACACGCTGGTCATGTCAACAATGCTACTGGTGGTTTCAGACCTATATCCAGCCTCTGCCAACTGTTTGGAACTCAAAGGCCACTTAAAATAACTCATCCGAGTGGCAGCTGAGGATTACCTGAGTCATTACAGATACAAGTACACCATTCTCATCAGAAAGGCAGCCCTGAACCAATCCAGACCCATGCTGTCCCACTTCCCAGTGAGAGGTGAGACGCTGTACAAGGAATTCAACCCATGTTTACTTACCTCAGCTGCTTTCTGAGCCAATTCTTTCTTTATTTTGGCTTTTTCCAAATTGTCCTGGGCTTCCCTCTTCTTCCTCTCTCCTTCCATCCTCTTCCTTTCTACCTCTTGTCTTTGTTTTTCCATTTCAGCAAACTTCCCCTTCACACTACCTGAGGATTTCACAGAGCACAACACAATCATTCAGCCTCCTCTTCCTTCCAGGCTAGCTGAATATCCATCTTTTCACCATTTTTACCGTTTGCGTGTCTTACCTGTGATTTTGGGGACGTAGGATTTTTCCACCTTTGTTGGCTTCACCTCTTCTTCCTCATCACTTGAAGCGAGTAGTTCTTTTATCTGTGGCGGATCGGATAGAGACTGGTGGTGAGGTTACGGTTTAGCTGGGATCATCTCCTTTGCCACTCAGGAGCCATGCTGGTCCCAGCAAGAACAAGGGCCTAATCCCTGCTAATAGCTGGGTCATGTGACCTCCAGGTGGACATCTAATTGGGCCGTTGTGTGGCACAGAAAGAAGATGAGCGTAGGTGTCCAAGTCTGGCCAGCTATGGCACTGCTGTACAAAGGGAGGTTGTTCTCTCTCACTGAGTATCACTGTTAATCCACTCACATAACACCGTATCACTGCATTTGTTTCACCACAGTCGATCTTGAAGAAAAGCTGTCTTAACCTTGAATTTTTGATCTATCATTTCCATTTAAATTTCACACATGTAGCTTCTCAGACACTAAAATGTGTCCTCCACACTGTATATAGTATTACATAGTATTTTCTTCTGATGAAAAATAAAATCCAAGGCACTGTTACTGTCACATAAAATTAAAACAATGTAGATCTGTGGAGCATCATTTTATACTTGAGCTGTAACTAATAGTTATTTTCATCATTTATTAATTTATTAATTAGTCTATTGTTTTACAATTAGTTGATTAATTGAGAGCCCCAAGGTCTTCAAATGTCTTGTTTTGTTTCCAAACACACAAAGATATTCAGTTTACAGTTAAATAAAACAGACAAAAGCAGCAAATCATCACATTTGTGAAGCTGGAAGCTAATATTTGGTGTTTTTCCTTGAAATATTGCCTAAAAGATTACGCCATTGTTGCAATGTTGAAGAGTAAACGAAAAAGGATCCAAACTGATGCAGCAGAACCAGATAAATTGTCGTTTTGTGTTGTCAAGACCTGGCGCCTACATCACCCACAATACAACATGACTGTTGACAGAGATTTGGGTTTGTTATGCTAGTTTTATTTCATTTTTAAAAGTTTTTGAGTAGTACTCTGTCAGTCGTGTATCTTATTGATCAAATTTACATACATTTACCTGTAATTCTGTATGTAAAGTATTTGGTATGTCTAAAATTTTGGATCTGGATTAAAATCTAAAATAAAAGAGTTGAACAATCGTTGCCTTCACAACATGCGTTCTCCTTGTGCACATTAATAGGGTTAAAATGGCAATCTTAAAAAAACAACAAAAACTGTCTCTTGAACTCAAGCACAAACCATAGGTGAGTACTGCATAAAAATAATCATTATTAATGGGTTAATTGTATAAAACACTGTGTGGTGTAGAAGAGAATGAATTCTCACTCAAACTGGCAGCCTTGTCACCCCGTCATGCTTCATCATGCCATGCAGGTCACAGCTGGAGGTTAGTTCAGTTATCTGTCATTGACCTGCTCCTTCCTGCGATTCCACTCTCGCTCCTTGATGTATTGCTCCTTCCTCTTCTGCTGCTCCTCGTTGTTCCTCTGCCTGCTGCGCTCCTCCCTGGCCTTCTGCATGGCCTCAAACTTATTCTTCACATCCCCCTTGTCTTTGTTCTCCTTTGGCACGTAGCTTCTGGCCACCGGCTTTCTGGATCGGAGGAGTTTCTGTGGTTTATCAGAGAGAGGGGGGATAAGATCAAATTAATTTGTGCAGCAGGGGTAATTGGTTTCCAGTGTTGGCAGTAAGGCATTATTACTAATAATATTACAGTAATAATGTTACGTTCCCCAGTAACTAGTGGTGTAACTAATGACTAATACATTTCAGGAATAATATTACAGTTACTCCCCAAAAAAGTCTTATTTTTGTTGTTACCCCCTACTGATTTGAGCCAATCACATTCCCAGATTCAATGAATAGGAAACACCCACATTCAGCAGCTGGAAATATTCTCATTTCTTTAATCTTAACAAACAAAACTGTGTCTAAAGTTTGTGGAGAAAGGACACAGAAACCAATTTTGTCTGATGTAGCAGAAAGGTAATATAACTAGTAGTGTAACTAATTGCTGTTGGAAGTAATAAGTAAAGTAATAATATCACTTTTGAAAAGATTAATGAGTAATAAATTACATTTTTTGAGGGCAATATCCAACGTATCTCATCACCCGTGATCTTCAACTCCTCACTCACCTTTTTCTTAAGTGCCAAATCAGAAATATCCTGGTCTTCATTTGTGTCCGGTTGTGCATCCTCCTTCGTCTCTCCATCCTGTTCTACACCGTTAACCGTTGATCTGTCGTCCTTCTCTTCGTGTTCCACACCGTTCATGTGTCCCTTGTCAGTCTCTTCATCATTCTCACTGCAAATCTTTTTATCCTCCACGTGCGACGTCTCCTCACTTTTCTCCTCGGCCGCATCGTCTTCGTTAACAACATCTTCTTCGTGTGTCATATCATCTTCCTTGTTTTCTGCGTCGCTCACGTTGTGCTCATCTTCATTCGTGACATCCTCCATGTCGTGAGCGACTACAGCCGCAACCTGCGCCACCTCCGTCATGCTTGGACCACGATGAGAAGTTGACAAACAGGCTCTGTTGAAATGTTACCTGCAAAGCAACAGAGGGACAGTTCACACGTTAACTGTCTTGTTTCATCATGTAGAAGTGATGCTGTGGATATAAACATTCAGAACATGAATTACAGATGTATTTCTTTTTAAAGACAGTATCTGTAACCCTTGCAAAATGTTATTAAGCTTTTCCTTGACTGGAAGATATTTCTTTAAGACTTTCAATGCATGTGTGAAATACATTGGCTGATGTGTTTATTATTTTATGACTGGCTGGATTTGTTGGTGGTCAGTGACTGATTGGTGGTTTGTTAAGATGGCTGACAAGATGCACTTCTAGCAAACTTGCAACCAATTTATTCATTAAATTAGTCATTTTGAAAACTTTTTAGTAATCCATGTTTTTATCATTCAGTTAATTTGCATAATTGTGTTTTATTTTTCCCATTTTGACTGTTATTATGGATAAACCAGTGTACAACCAGTTGAAAGGCTGCATGCTTAACGTTTTAAATTCATTTATGATTCTGTAATGTCACTTTTTTTCCTAGGATACCTACTTCCCAGTATGTCAGGAAAGAGCGCAATGGAAGCTTGCTGACCTCTATATATAGCCCACTTGTGGGTCCAGGACATGTGATCATGGCTATTTCTGATGAGTGATAGGCAGTTGGACAGAGCTCAAGTTGGCACCCACATGTCGCCCCACAGACCCTTGACAAAATGGCCAGACTAAGAGCTAGACAACTGGATGAATGAGAGCTGTTTGAACGGTTAGTCATCCAACACCAAAACTGCTGCTGTTTATCAGTGTCCTCAAATACCTTTTATATTCAGGTATGAAGATCAAAGCCTGACATGATGCTGTTAATCAGGAGACCATTTCAACGTCAACTGGAAGTGGAAATGTAGAAGGATGTATCACAGTGGAGCTCATATTTTGGCCATTTTTACATTTCTAATCAGTCTACTTGCTGACCGCTGTATCTTAAAATGCTCACCCAACTCCGACTCAAAAGTCTTCTAAGCAGCTGTTTGACACAGTCTAGAACAAACTTTTAAGTTGTGGTTGAAATGAATTGATTGTATTTTCCAATTTAGAACGTGTGTATTAACCGATTTGAGTCAAAATAACAATAAAACACTTATTCATAAGTAGGACAGTAGACTAAGATATTGAAAACAATCCTGATTCTATATTTATTGTTATTTTGCGAAATATGAATCATGAAAAGTTTCTTATTGCTTCCACTCATTCTGATTCCCCTTATCACTCAATCTCAGCAGGGAGATGAATGTCAGGACTTTAGATCCTCACCTGCCATTTTCAAGAATGTTTCTTCTGTCCTGTTTTGATATAATAATGGCCTAATCTTTCATAGTAGGTTCTTTGTGGTTTGAAGGGTATTAACTTACAGGTCAAGGTCTTAATGTCACAACTGGTAAATCAACACTGAACTAAGAAATTCCAGTTACAGGAGAAATTTTATGTTTGGGTGGTGATGTCCTATTTCTGTACTCAGCTGGCACCAGAAATCATGACAGTGTGTGTCAGAAAAAAACTGAGTGTGACACATATGTGAGAGATCAATGTGTACATGTATCCTTTTTATCAGCAGTCTATCCGAATTGTTGTGTTTCTGTACATTTCTGATCACACACCGTGGACTGGAAATGTAACTCCTACCTGTAACTGTAACTAACCGCAATAAAAATATAGAAAAAAAAACTTAATTCACACTTTAAAGTGCCTAATGTAGCTGATATCTGCCTAAAGATGCAGCCTATGATCTGTTTAAGTTAACTTTTCATTAGAGTAACGTGAGCTTTGACCTTGCTGCATAATGATGAACAGACTATGCTATATTTTCCCTACATTATCTATAAAATGGTACTTTACCTCTCAGGCGCTGTGTCGTCCTCCTGTTTTCAATTGTCTTTAAATCCTTTGGGTCGATATAAACCACAAGAGGTGAAAGGCAAGCCGAGCGGGACAATCCGAGATGCGACCACTCGGTGGACCAACTCGACTGGCTGCTGGTTGCCGTTTCCATAAAAGTACCGTTACTTTCTACCGGATACCGCATTCCGCACGCGCCTGCCGCAGGTTCAGCTGTCGCCTCGTGCGCGCGCGCACACACTCGCCACATGCGCGCACAGTCTCATCCTGATGGTTTGCAGTCGCAGCTGCATAAATACTGCTGATAATTGTCCGCAACAATTTAGCCAATTATTGTGTGTTCAGTACTACATTTGTGGTAATTTATTGCACATGTATTTATTTCAAAATCAGCTCCTTGACTAATAAAGATTATAATGACCTGAGTGATATTTTAATATTCTGTGATATCACTTTAATGTCTCCATAATAGCCACAGTGTCTGTTAGTGCGTCTGTTATTATTAAGTCATGATTAACTGCAGCTATCAGTGAGTTCACAGTGACCAAAATACTTTATATAGTATCACTGATTTCACTGGAAGATAAAATGTTTGCTGTTCAGGTGTTAGAGCGCTGTGTATCCTTAAATGTAGGGTAGTTTTGGACAGCAACGAGTGTCATTAAAGTAGGCTAACCTAATACATGTTATTTGCTGTTTATACCATCACCTTTCTGTTGTGCTTTTATAATGCATTTGTCATTTCCTGTTTTTTGTCATTGCAGCTATTTTGTCTGATTAATGATGCTGATAGCACAATGCATGATCCATTATCTTACGCATTTATTTTCAGGAATGGATCACCCAGATAAGAGTAACTGGATTGTCTGGTGCAAAAGAATCTGGACACTCTTCTTGTCAGGTCTGTTTGGGAGACCCGCAACCTAAATGCAGACAGACATTTTCATTATCTGCTTGCTGCCCTGGATTCCTGACTTATCAGTTAACAGGGACACCACCAGCTTGCCCTTTATTTTTCCCACCTAACCTAGATATTGCTGTCACTCTGCTATGCAATGACGGTTGGAGCGTATATCATAATGCCAAGAGCCACACCGTAACAATATGTCAGAAAGCATAAAATCCAAGTTCTCTACTCTATGGGTGAGTCTTCCTTTTAACTTAGATGAGAAAGTGGTTCTCTCACTGAGGGTGGATGTAAATAGAAACCATGCAGCAGACACATTTTGTCTGCCCTAATGGCTCCAGCTCACAGCTGCTGACTCACTGACCAGAACAGGCCTCAGGCAGAAAACCCACCAAGTAAAGTCCCCATTCAAGTATTCTAAGAATGTTATAGAGATTTTTGAGAGGTGGTACAAAAAAGCCTTTATTGGTCTTGCCGTCCAGCTAAATTATAATAGGTAGCATTAATATACGGAAAACCCTGTTTGGCAAACTGTATTACAGGATTCCCTTGAAAATGATGACGTAAAAACCACTATTTTACAGGTTAAATTGTAGATGTGAGGATAAACAACGAATGTTACATAATTGCAGCAATCACTGTGTCGAGTTAGAGGTGTTGAGGGTTTGGGAAACCCCCTACAAGAGGGCCAAAGCTCCAGCTAATACTGTACTTAGAAGTGAAATCTGAGAGCCAGATCATCGCTGGAAGAGAAAGAAATCATTCTTTTGATGAAAGAACATAGAGACGACTGGAAGGTTCTTGCTTGTAAGTAATACAAAAATAATACATAGACAAGTAGCCAGATTTTTATTACATGAAAGAGGACAGCCAATCTGCACCCTACAATGTGTTGAAGGGGCTCCTTTCACCCTGTCATTTATTCACTTCCTGCTCAGATTAAGGCATAAATTGGTGGGGCTCTGTTCTGTGAACTCTCGGGGGCAAAGGGGCTCCGTCCGCTTCTGTTCTGAGTCCTGCAGGGCATCAGGGACAACAAGGGGACTTGCTTTAAATAGCACCCCAGTTGTGGCAACTAATCAACACTGTAAGGACAGCTAACCTGACTCAGACTGGGCCTTAGCCTCAGCTGCTGCAGCTCAGCCCTGACACCCCTATGGATATTTTTGTGGTGGTACAGCCCACACCCCCTGCTGAAGCTCCAGTAGACTGGCTCAGCAGGTCAACACTATATCATGTGTTGGTGGGTGGACCAGCTGTCCACACCTCTACTGACCACCACCTGCCTATTCTGTGAACCGTGGCTTTTATATACAGATCAAACTGCACACATTGTGAACAAATCATTGAAGACTTCACACACAAACCCTTGTCTTTCAGGTGAGAGATCATCTCTGACTCATCTCAGTCTGCTCACTATTGCTGATGAGGTGCTTTCTGGCCAAGAAAACATCCTGATGGCACTGCAATAAAAACTCTTACTCATGAATGCAAGCTTATAGTGACATCTGTCAGTATGTCACTTGTGTTTTGTGTTTGGTGTTCTTGAATCAAGCTTACTACTCATTACACTATACTCAAAATTTGTAAAAAATAAAAATAAAAATACCCAGAACAGAACAGAAATGTGCAAATTTGAAAAGAGATTTTCAGGACTCTGTTGTGTCCTTGCATGTGCAAACCAGACTAGACTGTCCCTCTCTTTTGCCCTGCAGCTGTCCAGTTATAGGGTTAACTGAGGTTACAGTAGTGCTGCTGAAATGACTGAAATGTCAAATCCTTAAAGCCAGAAACCAGAAATGTTGTCCTGTTATTCTCTTAAATATATCAAGGACAAGCAAACTGCAATATTTAACATGATGTGATTTACCTTAAAAGTGTAATGTCTCTCCAGGTTTCCTTTTTAACTGTTTCTTTCTTGAACAAGCAGTGATGTCATTATTTCCCAGCTATGACTGCTGAGAGCTTGGCAGTTATTAGGAGAAAAGCAACTCTACCACAGAACATGTGCCACCTGTAGACAGAGCAGGCCACACTCAATCTACTTTTAAAAGCACACAATGAGCCTATTAAGTGAGAAATAACGTTTTTTTTTCAAAAGTAAAACCTTAGAAATAATAATTTATGTGATGTGGTCTGAAATGGTCCAAACTTAAAATGGCCCTTCCTCTGTGCAGTATTCAAAAACCTAATGTCAGGCCTATCAGCTAACAGGCATCAGCACAAGTGATACATAACTGGCTTGTTGACAACTATGGAGAGACTGTTGGACAGTGGTGCTATTGCGGACTGCACACAATCCCTTAACAGCATCAACCCCTGCATTATCTAAAATTTCCATATTATTGTGTACCAGTCAACCGTTGGTCAGATGCTCTGGCCTCATATATAGACTTTCATATTACAGTTTTTGCCTTTATATGCAGAAATCATGAGGGAGGATGCAATGTGTTTTGCTTCCTCAACTGTTAAACAAACCATAATGAACATTTTACTTTAGAGAAACCCATCCAAGTTCCTTCCTGTTATTGTCTCTGAAGTGTTAAGTGCTTGTGCAGGATTAATGGATCTCTCACTGCCCCCTAGTGAAAACACACAGGAGAATGCCTCTGACACAATACTGACTTCACTGTTACAATTTCTAAACCTATGTCCTGTTGATACTTTTGCTAACAACCAAAAACAATGGGAAGGTAAATCTCTTATCAATATACTTTCAATACTTTATACTTAACTTAACCTAACCCTTCTGTATCAAAGGCTTTTGCCCAAAGACTGAATAATGAACTTGATAAGGAGATATTTTTTATCAATCCACAGGGCAAGTAACTAAATACTTAGCATGATAGCATCAACCAACTCTTGTTTGTTTATTTCCCCTACATAATCATCCAAGGCCCCCCACCCCTGGCTTAATGCCCCACCAGGAGGGCTTGCCCCAATTTGAGAACCACTGCATTATACAAAGCCTTTTTTCTCCTTCTACATTTTTTACACATATTTATATTGTGATTGTCAGTTCAGGGCAGCATGCCAGAACCAGTTATCAAGTCATGCAAAATGAATTTAGATCAGATGACTGATCTCTTTTGTTTGTTATGCAGGCCATAGACTCACATGAGCATGTGAAATATGACATCTAATATTGTTGGGGAAACATGCAGCAAGAGGTGGATGGGCGTACCTTTAGAATAATTGAAGGCTCTTCCTCTTCAATACATTTTACACACTTAACGCTCTGTATCAGAGTGTGTGTGTTTCCTTCCTCATAGAACAATGTACAGAAGAAAAAAAACATTTCAGCTGATTGCTTTTGCAGAATTCCAGTCCCTACAAAGAGAGTAACAAAAAGCAATCATGGTCAATGCATTTGTGTTTGTTTTTTAACACTATTTCAGAATTTTTTGGAAACTCCTACCTGTTTTTGCACTTAAACAGGATATTATTTACTTTTATAACATGTGACAGTTGTTATTTAGATGTCATTTCAATTGTGTTTAACAATGTGCCTTTTGGCCATGTCTTTCTAGAAAACCAAATTTGAATCCCAATGATCATGAATCCAAGTTTTTTTATTCATCTGAATATTGTTTATGCTTTAGCACCCTATTGTCAGTCATTTTGAGGCTCTAACAACGAGATTAATGATACCTTAATAGATTAGTGGTGTATAGCTGAATGGAGTTTGTTTGATAACTTATTATTTAATAGTACATATATATTTTCAAGGAAAAGTCTTTTGAGAACAGAGAAAAAACTGAATTGATTCCTTCTTAAAATACTTTTATCAGAGATGATTTTACTTTAGTTCTTCGATTTTATTCTAATTAGTTTTTTATAAATTTTTTACATTATTGAAATTGGTTTTATCTGTGTTATTATGAATTCAAATCAAACGATTTTTAACTTTCTGTTTTTTGTGAAGCACTTTGTAACTTGCTTTTTTAAAGGTGCTCCATGAATAAAAATTATAATTATTATTTCAATATGTAAAGTGTAGTATGTACAACAGTTTTTCATTCATGATGTTTAATGAGATGTTTGGTGTCCTACGTTTAACGGTTTTCAAATCATAATATCTGTTCCTGAGATTTATTGGTAGGGAATTTATACAGGCTGAATAGATCTAATAGCTCCGGTTTGTCGGATCATTCTGTATGTATAGAGACTGGTGTTTTTCGAGGAGAAATGTTTGACTATGGAGTAAAAAAAGAGTAAAAACTGAATGGAGTTCTGCCAGAGGGGCA